CATTAAACATAATAGGACCTTGATGCACGTCATTTTTTTTTCGGATCAAGTTCGAAATAGCCGACTGGCGGCCATTTGTTTAAAGAATTCAGTTCTGGATCCGTATCCGAGACATGCTTGGATTGATAGAGTTCAAACTTCACACACACAAGGTACATCATGTCACAAATATGTATGTGCATTTGTTTCATGATCTCATTAACGATAGCCAAATGGCGGCCACTTTAAGGCCGAAAATGCATTGAAATCGCACATTTTCACCATTCCGGACCCGTATCTCAGTTATGCATGGATGGATTTTGTTCAAATTTGGTACATACATTAAACATAATAGGACCTTGATGCACGTCTTTTTTTTTTTCGTATCAAGTTCGAAATGGCCGACTGGCGGCCATTTTGTTAAATAATTCAGTTCTGGATCCGTATCCAAGACATGTCTGGATTGATCGAAAATGCATCAAAATCACGTATTTTCACAATTCCAGAACCGGATCTCAGTCATGCATGGATGGATTTTGTTCAGATTTAGCACAATGTGTTGTACATATGCAGGTGCATTTCGGTCATGATCTGCTTTGAATGTATATGTCACTCAAATATGAACGGAACGGGGACGTGTCATTGACAATGACTTGTATTTTACCTAACACTGCCATCAGTTATAGACAGTTAGGAGACATTCAAACATGATATTTTTATGCTCAAAATTAAGATTTTCTCTTTCAAGATAAAACCAAGGATGGAGCTGTGAAGTCATCATCAAGTGTCAGTACATCTAGTAAATCACAACCTAGTAAAGGCAATAGTGCAGGATCTGGAAAAACATCTTACTCTAGTAGTGAGAGGAAATCAACAGGGTGAGTAGTCATCTTGACATTAAATAGGGTTAAATATAAATGCAGGTTCGTGAGCATGTGAAGTGAAAACAACTTTTTTTAGCTCCGCTGTGGACTTTGTCGAGCGGAGCTTATCATATGAGTGATTGTCCGTTGTCGTCCGTGTCAATGTTTTACTTTTTCGACTTCTTCTTGAAAACTACAAGCCTGAATGCTTTGATACTTGGTGTATATGTACCTTGGGTAGACCTCTCTTAGGTTTGTTCATTTCATGTTGATATCTTCAATTCTCTAATTTTGGTGAATATTTTTGTCATTTTTGGTAAAAAGTGATATTTTCGACTTCTTGTTAAAAACCGCAAGTGCAAATGCTTTGATATTACATATATAGGTACTACATGTGAACCTCTCTCAGATTTGTTCATTTTGTAATGATATCTTTAATTCTCTAATTTTGGTGAATATTTTTGTCATTTTTGGTCAAAAGTGATATTTTCGACTTCTTGTTAAAAACCGCAAGTCCAATTGCTTTGATACTACATATATAGGTACTACATGTGGACCTCTCT